CCCTTCTCCCTTTGCAAAGAAGTGCTTGCTAACAACTGGTGTTTTTTTTAAAAAAAGGTCTGGTACTCATACATAAGGCAACATTGATTTCCACCAATTGTCCCCTCAGGATTCAGAACAGCCCCCTCAAAAGGAGCCGGTACTCAGTACCGTGTAGTAGCCAGTTTGGTGTTGTGGTTAAGTGCGCGGACTCTAATCTGGGAGAGCCGTGTTTGATTCCCCACTCCTCCACTTGCACCTGCTGGATGACCTTGGGCAAGCCGTAGTTCTGCCACAGCTGTTCTGGAAAAAGAGCCGTTTCTGTCAGAGCTCTCTCAGCACCACCTGCCTCACAGGGTGTCTGTTGTGGGGAGGGGGAAGGGAAAGGAGTTTGTAAGCCGCTCTGAGACTCCTTTGGGTAGTGAAGGGCGGGGTATAAATCCAATCTCCTCTTCCTCTTCTTCTTCCTCTTCTTCTTCCTCTTCTTCTTCCTCTTCTTCTTCCTCTTCTTCTTCCTCTTCTTCCTCTTCTTCCTCTTCCTCTTCTTCTTCTTCTTCTACCGTCCAGTTCCACCACACACACACACACAAAAAGCCCCACTAACAACAGTAGAGATGAACCCTTGCAGGGGAACAGAACTGCTCTTTCTCATTTTGACTGCCTCGCTGAGTATAAAAGTGTAGACCGTATTTCAGATCATGCATGGACTCTGGCAAACTTGCTGTGCTTTCTATACTGGTGGCGGAAAGGGCCATCGAGGGCAGTGTTCCCTCTAAGCCGACTTAGTGTGAGCCAGCTCACAGTTTTCCAGCCTCCAGCTCACAGATTGTTGTCTTCGCTCAGGAAGGATGGCTCCAGAGCCAACTGATTTATGCAGTCGCCAAATCGCTGGCTCACAAATTTCGTGCCAGTAGCTCACAGAGTAGAATTTTTGCTCACAAGATTCCACAGCTTAGAGGGAACATTGGTCACAGGGGTTCCTACTGTAGCCCCACACGGGGTTTTCAAGGCAAGAGGCCAACCTCTGCACCAGCAACCCGGGACTTCCTGGGTGGTCTCTCATCCAAGGACTAACCAGGGCCGACCCTGCTTAGCTTCTGAGTTAAAATAAAATACCATAATGCCCCTCTATAAATCAATGGTGCGACCTCCTTTGGAATACTGTGTGCAGTTCTGGCCACCACACCTCAAAAAGGATATTATAGCTTTGGAAAAAGGGCAGAAAAGGGCAACTCGAACGATAAAAGGGTTGGAACACTTTCCCAATGAGGAAAGGCTAAGGCGCTTAGGGCTCTTTAGCATGGAGAAACGACGACTGAGGGGTGACATGATCGAGGTTTACAAGATTATGCATGGGATAGAGCAGGTAGAGAAAGAGGTGCTTTTCTCCCTTTCTCACAATACAAGAACTCCCTGTGGGCACTCCATGAAATTGCTGAGCGGTCGGGTGAGAACGGATAAGAGGAAGCTTGGGGGGGGTGCCAACAGTGGGAGGGCTTCTCGTGTCCTGGCCCCACTGGTGGACCTCCTGAGGGCACCGGGTATTTCTGGCCACTGTGTGATACAGAGTGTTGGACTGGATGGGCCTTTGGCCTGATCCAACATTGGCATCTCTTATGTTTTTATGAGTTCGGATAAGACTGAATCCAGGTCAAGACACTCCCCACTGTAGCTGATCTCCCCCCCCCCACTTATTTCCCCTCAGCTGAGTAATCCTCGGCTACTCCTTGGCAACGGCAGTTCCGTGCCAGCTTCCAAGAGGTTCTGGTGCCCAGAGGACCAGGCTATAAATCTCTCTGTTTTATATCCAGGAGACTGGCAGTGCTCTGGCTGGATCCTGCCCTATGGTCTATTCTATGGTCTGATGGGGATTTTTGGACCCTTTTCATAAGACGTGAACAAATTTTCCTTGTGCATCAAGCGCTCAGGCATGTGAAGTTCGGCGACTGGGCCGTCAATGCGATAAAGGGTGCTAACAAAATATCTAATCAAGAAATAAGAGTCATCGTTATGTCAGCTTGAAAGAACTCCAAGCCCAGCGATTAAGAATATTGTTGCACTATAGGATGTGTTTTTAATCTAATCCATCATCGTTTCAGATGTCTCTCTCAATGTAGCCTGAAATTAAAGACACTGATCGCAGCTGACAGGTTTCTTATGCCAGACAGTCTTTTCTCGCTCATGTCAGAGACAGACAAGAGCTTCAAGGTGACCTTGGAAAGGGGGGGGGGAGTGGCGGGGAGGAGAGGACATTTGTGTTGCTTCTTTCAAGAAGGCTGGACAAGATGGGTATTGGTTTCAAATGTTTTCTTTCGTTTTACCTGAAATATACAAATCATCTTCTGGAAAATGAGATCGAACACCTTTTTGGTATTAGAGTTCACATAATGCAAATGTCAGAGAATCCACAATGGCTTACGATCCAGTATGCAGTAACTGGGCATGAAAATAAGTGAACTACACTTTTTCACTGTCTGACAAAGTGTGCGTGCACACAAAAGCTCACACCTTGAGTAAAACTTGGTTGGTCTTAAAGGTGCCACTGGACTCTAACTTTGTTCTACCAAGGTAACATAAGGACATAAGAGAAGCCCATGTTGGATCAGGCCAAAGGCCCGTCCAGTCCAACACTCTGTCACACAGTGGCCAAAAATACCTGGAGCCACCAGGAGGTCCACCAGTGGGGCCAGGACATTAGAAGCCCTCCCACTGTTGGCCCCCCCAAGCACCAAGAAGACAGAGCATCACTTGCCCCAGAACCCCTATCTATACCTTGCGGCTAATAGCCACTGATGGACCTCTGCTCCATATGCTTATCTAATTCCCTCTTATAAGAACATAAGTGACGCCAATGTTGGATCAGGCCAGTGGCCCATCCAGGCCAACACTCTGTGTCACACAGTGGCCAGAAATACCAGGTGCCCTCAGGAGGTCCACCAGTGGGGCCAGGACATTAGAATCCCTCCCACTGTTGGCCCCCCCAAGCACCAAGAAGACAGAGCATCACTTGCCCCAGAGCCCCTTATCTATACCTTGTGGCTAATAGCCACTGATGGACCTCTGCTCCATATGCCTATCTAATTCCCTCTTGAAGCCGTCCATGCTTGTAGCTGCCACCACCTCCTGTGGCAGTGAATTCCATGTGTTCATCACTCTTTGGGTGAAGAAAGACTTCCTTTTTTAGCAACTGTACATTTTTAGCAATTGTACATTTTAGGGCTCTTAAGTGATACCTGTCCTGACCCGGATGGCCCAGACTAGCTTGATTTCGGAAGCTCCCGGAAGCTAAGCAGGGTCGGCACCGGTTACGAGTTGGATGGGAGACCACCAAGGAAGTCTAGAGTCACTACACAGAGGCAGGTAATGGCCAACCACCTCTGAATGTCTCTTGCCTTGAAAACCCTACAAGGTCCGCAGAAGTCGGCTGGGATTTGACCTCCAAGTGATACCCGCACCTATTATCGGAAACTATGAACAGCCTGAGCCATTTCACAACTGTCTGTAAGAGGTCTAATGAAAATATTCTGGATACATCGAGGGGGGGGGAATAAAAATGGGGTAGTGCTAACCTTCTTAACAAAAGGAGCAAATAAAAAAAGGCAGTTTTTACCCCACAAACAATTCGCAGGTTAGCACTGAAATCAGGTGGGGTTCCACAGCCAAACACTCTCAGGAGAGGTGGCTGTAGACCTTTAATGTATCAGGGGAACATATGCCACACCGCCTCTTAAGATGGCGTGCATTGCCCCTTGGCAAACTGGCCGTCTCTGCTGTCTTGCCAAGGCATAAGAAGAATTCTAAAAACAGGTAAAGGTCTCCCTTGCTCGAAAGCCAGTCGAATCCGACTCTAGGGTTGCGGTGCTCATCTCCGTTTCCAAGCCGAAGAGCCAGCGCTGTCCGAAGACGTTTCCGTGGTCATGTGGCCGGCATGACTAAACACCAAGGCGCACGGAACGCTGTTCCCTTCCCACCGAAGTGGTACCTATTTATCTACTTGCAATTTCTTGCTTTCGAACTGCTAGGTTGGCAGGAGCTGGAACCAGAGACGGGAGCTCACTCCGTCATGCGGCACACTCGGGTCTCGAACTGCTGAGCTACCGACCTTCCACAGCCTGCAGTTCAGCGTCTTAACCACTTGAGCCACCGCAGCTCCTAGAAGAATTCTACCCCCCTGAAAAAATTTTGGGAGCAGGGAAATGCAATAAAAAGTCTGCTCACCCCCTGGCAGGGCACCAACATAATTTGCAAGCCCGAGTGCTCAAAAACACAGGGATAAGAGGAAACCCAAATACTTCTCCAGTGTTCCAGCTCAGCTATGAACCTTCACACAGGGCAAATGGCTGGCATGTCTCGACCTGAGGGATTCTATACACACTTCCGATCTTAAAAATCACCAGGGGGCATTTCGTAGAAAAAGAGGTGCAGGAGCTCATTAGCATAACATATTAGCATAACTTATTAGTATAACTCATTTGCATGTGCCCCACCCCCTAACAT